TTCAAAACGTCACATACCTTTCTTATAATTGTCTACTGGGTTTGATTATTTCGGTGAAAGTATTACGTCACTTTTGGTTTTGATAATTAAAAGGTACTTAATATAAAAAAAAATATAAGTTTTAAAATACGTATCAAAACAGGATCCAATGCGATAAGAAAAACACTAATCTTTATAAGAAAGATTTAAAAAATTAAAAACATTTCTGAATGTTGAGTTAATGAGTTTATAATTAAAGTACTACTGTCTTTAATTCCGAATTAAAAGTTCATAAGTTCAGTCTTATAATGATAAATCGTAACATTATATTTATGAAAGTTATTTCGGGCCTATATCATAATACCTATCCACAGCTTTGTCCTGTTACTTTTCCTCTGTATCATAAGTTACAGCAAATCTTTGATGATCTTGTGATAAATTTTCAAAAAATAATTATCCTAATAATATAAGTGCATTTTAAATATTATTAGAATATCGGTAAACTTTGTACTGCACAATCAAAGAAATGTTAGAACACAGGGTACAATAAAATTTACTTAAGAAAGTTACAATAGTATTTCGAACTTATGAACAATAAAATAAGATAAATTTACATTAGGAAAATGCCACAGACTTTGCTTTCATAATACAGTATAATCGTTTCTTCAAATATTCGTATGAATACACGTTATGAAAATATTGCGAAACATATATTGCTTACCATAAACATTGGGTTTATATAAACAGTTACTTTTCGGGTTCCTGTATAAATGTTGCTCATCTTGTGAAGATTTGTTTAGTTGTTTGTTACTAAGCACAAAGCTACACAATGGGCTATCTGTGTTGTGCCCACTACAGGTATCGAAACCCGGTTTGTAGTGTTATAAGCCTTCAAATTATTCGTTGAGTCACTGGGGATTCTTGCGGAGGTTACCTTCCCATACTACCTAGTGATGCAGTTATAGCCATGTGTTGAAGATTATCTAACCTACATAAATAAAATGACCAAGTCGTTTTAGACAAAAGTGAATCTAAGTTTGAACACACCAGCCGGTGGGTCAGCGGGTAAGTTTACAGACTTACAGTGTTCGATTCTCCATAGTGGACAGATCGCAGATAGCCCATTGTGTAGCCTTGTGCTAGAAAAAAAAAAGAACACCAAGTTTGATTTTACAGTATAAAAAGAACGATCAAATTACATATCCCATTAAAGAAGAAAGACCAAAATATCTATTTCATTTCAAGATGGGGATTCCCCCATATAACTGAAAGAAATCGCAACTCCTCCCCCTTTTTATTCAAGCTCAAAACCATTATAATGGCAAACATTAAAGTTTTTATTATTAACAATAAGGTGATTGAATGATAAGTTGAATGCAGTCTAGACCTACTGGCAGACACATTTCGAAGTTTATCAATACAATCATCGTTCTTTTACATATTTATATACGTTCATCAGATTTTATTAATTAGACTCTAACCAATCACATTTTATAGTATATAGTCTCTTTACGCTTTTCTAGTCAGTTTTTATGTAATTCTTTAGAGTCAACTGAAAGCGTTTAGTGAACGATTTTGATATGCTTAAACTATAAATTGGAGACAGCTCGTACTAATAATTTTACCAACTTCCGTAAATCTTCTGTAATTGGCCCGGCATGGCCAGGTGGTTAAGGCACTCGACTCTCAATCTGAGGGTCGCGGGTTCGAATCCCTCTTACACCAAATATGCTCACCCTTTCAGCCGTGGGGGCGTTATAATGTGACGGTCAATCCCACTATTCGTTGGTAAAAGAGTAGCCCAAGAGTTGACGGTGGGTGGTGATAACTAGCTGCCTTCCCTCTAGTCTTACACTGCTAAATTAGGGACGGCTAGCGCAGATAGCCCTCGTGTAGCTTTGCGCGAAATTCAAAAACAAACAAACTTCTGTAATTACTCATTAAAAGTCAAAAGGCACAGTGTATATCAAATATTCTTCATAAAAGCTGAGACATACGCAGTTATATTGAATCGTTAAAGGTGGCGGACTTCGTGGAAATTCGTACAGTTAAAAAAATGGAATCATTTTTCACCTCTAGTACAGAACTACATTTTCAGCTCGTAAGTAGTGTGACGTCACCGAAGATAAATCTCTGTGAAGCCCTTTTTGATGCAAAATATTCAAGCATGCAGATCGGGGTTTAAAATTTCCAAGATAGGGATATCCTTTGTGCTTAAGGGCATTGTCAAATAAAACAATATGTATCAACCTGGCGGCATGGATTGTAAGTAGATGATAAGACTCCAAAATCGCTTTAATATAACATATTCAACTTTCTGTTTAACCTGGGATATAACAACACCTTCCAATTTTCACCTGATATTAACTGAACCGAGCCTCCCAGTGGCACAGCGGTATGTCTGCGGACTTACAATGCTAGAAACCGATACCCGTGGTGGGCAGAGCAAAGACAGCCCTTTGTGTAGCTTTCTGCTTAACTATAAACAAACAAACAAACTGAACTCGAAATTTTTAACAATGTATGGAAAGCAACCAGGGGAGTTTTTAATTTTATTTTGCAGGCGTGTCGTGTACAACAAGATATAGTATATTAGATAATATTGACTTGTTTGTTGTTGTTGTTGTTTTCTGAATATGTACTCAAAATGTCTTCGACTTCGTGAATTATTGTGTGTGTGTGTGTTGTTTTTTTTTTTTTTCATTCGCATCGTCACTGAATAGAAAACAGTTTTCTTCTTCATCGGGATTCGGTCCATGGTTTGGACCAGGGAGGGTCAGGTTCAGCGTAGACCAATGAATAGAAAAACAAGTTACTTAGAGTTTTGAATCTACCGTCACTGGTCTTGCTTTACATCTCCATATAGATATACATATATAACTGTGAAATGAATGTTATTATTATACATTAATGTTATGATTCTATTAATTTTTTTTTTCTTTTGAGAAACCGGGCATCATTACGTTACAGTCAAGTTAGATCTCTTCTGAAGCTTTGCACGCTAAATCTTCCGATAAACTATAGATGGCTAAAGGTTCTTTAAGAATGTAGTAAACATGTTATTAACAATATGAGTATATATAAAGTTTTGGAAAGTTAACCTTGATATTAACTATATAACTTGAATACAGACATTTAAAACAACAATAAACTTGGATTTCAAATGGATATCAAGGTTTAAAAATGTTTCAGATACATAGTTTCGCTTGGATAACGAGATTAGTTTGGTGTAGTGTTTAAATTTACACATACCTTTATATCTAATAACGTGCCTAAAGCCATTTCCCCGATGGGACAGCGGTACGTCTACATAGGGACTTACAACGCTAAAATCCGAAGTTCGATTTTTCGCGGTGGACACAGCAGATAGCCTAATGAGGCTTTGCTCTTAAAAAAAAAAAACAACCTACTCAAAGCCATATAAAGCTCCATTTTATGATAATCAATTTCATAGAACTAGCTTGGCTGATGAGATCTCACACTGCTCGAAAAAGCATTTCTCAATTGATTTTGCTGCTAATATAAGTTTCAAAATCCATCGTTTAGTTGGCTACCAGTTGGTTTTATTACTTAATATGAGGTTATGTGTTTCAAATCACATCGTTTAGTTGGCTGCCAGTTGGCTTTGTTACTTAATATGAGGTTATTTGTTTCAAATCACATCGTTTAGTTGGCTGCCAGTTGGTTTTATTACTTAATATGAGGTTATTTGTTTCAAATCACATCGTTTAGTTGGCTGCCAGTTGGTTTTGTTACTTAATATGAGGTTATTTGTTTCAAATCACATCGTTTAGTTGGCTGCCAGTTGGTTTTGTTACTTAATATGAGGTTATTTGTTTCAAATCACATCGTTTAGTTGGCTGCCGGTTGGTTTTATTACTTAATATGAGGTCATGTGTTTCAGATCACATAATATAAGTTAGTTGACTGCCAGCTAGTTTTGTTACTTAATATGAGGTTATGTGTTTCATATCACATAACATAAATTAGTTGACTGCCTTTTACAGGATTCTGTTTCCATGGGGACATAAATAGTATCTCTATTGTAAAAATATTATATTTAAGTCAGACGACTTCGAAAATGTTATTTGTCTTTATCTTAAATGAGGAGATTTACAAAAAAAAATATTATAAATATTAGACCCATGACTTTTGTCTGGATGTAGATCACTGGAGCAATCACTTTGATTTTACATGCTTTTCTAGGAACTAGTTATTCCAATGCTTATTTTCCAAACAAGATTAATAATGAGTTCTTCATTTGTTTCCAATTTCTAATTTTCTTTGGAAGTATAAACAAAATCACAAAAAGTTAAAATCTAATAATAGTATTATATATTATGTCAAATACCCTGTAAAATGTTATAACTGTTATCATATAAAGATATTACACCTTTATTTCAGTTCCATACTTTAATTTTATATGCAGAAAAGATTTTACTTGAGATAAAGATGTTTTCAGTATTCATTTGCCAAGACAGTAATGCTGGCGTATTTTTATTACTTAAAGGAATATACATTTTGGATTTTATCCCTTTAAGCAGCTTTAGATTGTAAATATTGAAATCGTTAATATGAATCTTTTAAAAATATTGGCCGTAAATAAGATGTTAAAGATATAAACGCGAATACTGAATATGTTACGAAGGGAATACGTTTACCACAAGGTTCAAAAATTGAGCTAAAATACTGGTAAATAAATGACAGGTGTTAATATTGTTGATTAGGCTAAAATAATTGTAAATAAATGACAGGTGTTAACATTGTTGAAACGTTAAAAGAGACAACAATGACTAACATATTTTGAGTAGAAAAAAAAATAATGATCGACAAACATTTCAGTGGTGCAATGTTTGTCTGTTCTTTGTTCTTGCTATATCAAGTCTATGATGGAAAAGCAGAAGTTTTAAGACAGAGAGAGCGTGTTATTAGGCTAATCAAATACAAATTTGTAATTGTAGATTTCTTAAATATTACCTATATCTAACGATGACAGTAAAACTACATAAAACGTTACTCACCTGGGTTCCACGCGACTTCACGCCCAACGTTTGAATGTTTTACATAAAGGTTTCGTAACTTTTATAGTACAAGTTGAGGCACGATGAACGTGACTAGCGACAGGGGCTGTCCTCGAATGGTCCACTGGGAATTCCCCACCCTCAGCAAGCTATCTTCCATTTCAACCACCTCCACTGTAGAGAAAGATACACAATCTTAGCCCCCCCGAGACCCAAATGGTTTAGGAATTTCACGCATGACCAGCAATCGCTTGGACTAATATGATGCAGTATAACTCCGCAACTCAGGGTTCGATCCCTGTGATAGGCACAGCACAGATAGCCTATCGTGAAGCTTTGTGTTTAACAACAATCAAAACCTTTACACTTCTAGGCTAATTAATAAAATACCCTCATAATAAATATCTATACAAGAACACAGGTTAATGTCACTTAAGAAAGTATTAGAAAATAAAACGTTTGGCGGTGCAAATGACAGCTTTGGCAGGATAAAGCTTATACAACGACGAGATGGAACCTTCATCGCAGAATTTAAATTGGCTCTGTGCAGTAAAATAAGTATGAATTCGTCCTGGATTTTTACTGTAGTTGATTTTGATCTACCGTTCGATCTATTTGCAATTAATATTGCAATTACACAGTTAATAACATTTGGAAACTTCGTGAGTAAACTAAAATAATTGTAAAACTTTATAGAAGTAAAATAGGTTTTGAAAAGAAAACCACCCACTACACTGAGTATGCGCGACCAATAAAAAAAAAAATGTTATATTAGTAGTTATCCGATATGTAGCATTAACGTACGTCTATAGACCGTAACAATTTACTGTGTTCTTATTATCTTTATAAAGCGAATTTCTGAGCTCTGAACTTGGTTTTAAAGCATTTTTGACTTATAAAGGGAGATTTAATGTATTAAATAAATATAAAAATTGATATACATTTATATATATTATTCTACAGTGATGGTAACACTAAGGACCAGCAACGTTATCTTATAATTTTTTTGACCACATTCAGAATATTCAATTAATTTTATTGAACAAGAAGATGTTCAGATTTTACAAACCCACCCAGTATTTATTGACATATCTACAGACCTAATTAATAAGGGTAGATAAAATAGTGACATATAATTTAGATTACGAAGACAATTTTGTGCATAATACAACTAAATTCAAATAAACTTTAATTTACAAAATGAACAACAACAAAAAAAAAGTTAACGAAATTGCGCGCGTACACACACACGTGCTTGACTGGTATAAAGAGCATATGGCAATATTTTAACTACATTGTCCTTGTTGGACTATGAGTCAAGCCTTACATAAAATGTAAGAAAGTCAAAGTTTTAGCTCTAATGCCCTCCCCCCCCCCCCGGTGGCTCAGTGGTAAGTCTGACAGCTATCTACGCTAAAAAATTGGGTTTCAAAACCCGCGGTGTGCAGAGCATAGATAGCCTATTCTGTAGCTCTTTTTGCTTAACAAAAAAACGAACAAACGAGTCTAAAACCCTCTTCAAATTTACTGAGCCACATGAAAAATTTCCTACCTTTTCATAGCAATACTAATTATTGATATGTGTACGTAGGAATTAAAAAAGTGGTTTAGATATCATACAAATGTTTTATCTCTCATTTCTAATTTAGAGGTTTAGTTAAGTTTTTCTCAATTCAGTTATATTTATTCCTATATATTACAGTTACTATAATACAATACTAAAATATCCCTCTATTTGTATGTAGATATATTTATTTACTTGTAAAATATATCCAGATACCTCTTGAATGTAAACTCAATGTTTAAAGTAGAAGGTGGATTAAAGTAAATATCACAGTATATCCAGCTGGGAATAACATGTGTCCACTTGATGAAACAAAAGTCAAGAAACATCATTATTATTCACAGAACAGTTTATATAGACGTCCAATTCATTTGAACTGTTTTACAAATTAGACAAGGAATAATTTTGGATGAGTCTTCAGACCAATGATAGGAACTAGTAAATAAATAAAAAGCAAGATAATATGTCGAATGGGGAGGATTAATAATGCCATTCTAATGTCATTTTTTTTTTACATGTTTCCTACAATAAGTTCAAACCCAGTTGAAATACAATAGTATTCGAGTCCAGAACATTCTTTGTAAGGAAGGAACGTGTTTGCCTTCGCTGAAGTGGAGCAACACATAGATTGAGAAAAACTATCAGATTTGACCTTAAAAAGAAACAAGATTGTGTCAAGGTCTGAACTATAAACATGAATTGTGTAATAAAATATACAAAGGTTCCACTCTGAGTTTTTAGACTGTTCTCAGGTAAAGGAAAAAGTAAAGTACTTCTAAAATGTTTACACTGTTGAAAGAAATTTTATTACACTTTTTCGGGGATCGTAATGGAGGATGGTATTCCCCGATAGATCTCAACTGCTTAGTTAAACAAAAACCAAAACTTCCATCTTAATAATGGCATTTTAGTTTCATTATTTTCATTAATTGAGGAAAAGAAAGTTGAGCAAATTTTAAACATCTACTATTATACTTAGAGGGTTACGAACTTTGTTTAAAATGATTTAAATATCACATTTTCCTTGTGTCTATCATGACGCCATTCTTTTGATTTTTTAAACTTGAGATGTCACTTGCTTATGATTTCAATCTAAGCATAAATTTCTGTCTTGTCAGTATATGAAGCATTTCTACGTTAATGCTAACGCATATTACAAGCTATTGTAATTTTAAGGGCTTTTTAGATTTTGCTGTTGATAAGATAAATATTTATGATAAGAACCAACTCACGACTCTCATTATACAAATTGTTGTTCAGGGTAGAGATAAAAAGTGGAATTACAAAAATCCATATGAGTATCCTTGATCTAGAAAAAAAAATTACACCATTTTCACACCTGAATCTTTCGTGCTGACAAAGAAAATTATTAGGTCTAACTCCTCTTTTCCTTCATTTCTCTTTTAGCTAAGCCTAGAAAAGAGAAATCAAAGGTTATGCTTCAGGCGATGTGTTCGTTTGCGTAAACATTCATAACACACAATTCAGAAATTGCTAAAGCACAGGTCGTAATGTTTTGACACAATCTGATCAAACATTCGTGTTCACTAGAACGGACTTGTCAATATAAAATCATCAAATAAAACTTATTTTCGATAGTTTATTTTACTAGACGTCAAATTACTTATTGAAAAATTAGTTACATTTTTTTTAACGAGATCGGTGTCAAAATAAATCATGTGGCTGTTAGACAAAAAGAGATATCGCACTCCAATAATCTATTGAAGTATATGGAAAGAAGGATTGTGTTAAATAATAGTCATAAAGAATAAATCTGGTAGGATTCCAAATGATGTGCCTTTATATGAACCGTTTACATACACAAAGTATTTATTTATTTTTAATAGGCTGTATTATACAGTTACTGATCACTTTATTAGCATCTTCCAAGAATGAGAGAAACTCTAAAGGGTGTCTTATTCAATTACATCTCATTCTTAGAGGCTTTTGATCTGCAACTGATTCACGGTTGTCAGGTGGATATCATATATTTGGCTCATGGCGAATTTCATACCGTTCGACATTGCAATGCCACCTCGAGTAGAGTTATGTTTCAAGGTTGCTGTGACAGCCTTTCTGAGGAAGTATTCTGTATGGAGGAAAAGTAAAGAGATGCAAAGCTAAGAGAACAATAATTTCAAAGACGATTGTCTATAACATGCAATACTGCCACTAACTGGTCGTCCACGAACTCATCTCCTAGAGAAAAGGACTTTTTAACCGTTGCACATATCTCAATCAAATGTACACAACGAATGTCGTCCAAAGAATCAAACCATGAGTGAACAAGTTGCCCCTAAAGCACAGCGAAGAGAGATAGAAAAAAAAGCAAGTATAGAAACTATACGAAAAACAGTGTGCACGTAAACTTTGGAAGTTTGTCGTAGCATTGGACTAATCCAGCGAGTAGTTGATCACCTGTGAAGAATTAATTGTTTAACACGAGTGTGATAGAAACGTTCCGACATGTTACAGAAAACGTTTCGTGATACTTCATATAATGAAAAACTGAAATTTCATGGAGTGAAGATTAAAGAAAGCGCAAATTCCTGTTATATTAGGAGAATGCATTAATAAAAAATGTACAAGGTGAGCTTCCTACATATGGTTAAGAATCCAAGAAGGTTCCTTGGGTTTGATTAGGTGTGTATGGTATGTTTTGTTATGAATTTCGCGCGAAGCTTCACGAAGGCTATCTGCGCTAGCCGTCCCTAATTTAGCAGTGTAAGACTAGAGGGAAGGAAGCTAGTCAATACCACTCGCCAACTCTTTTACCAACGAACAGTGGAATTGATCGTCATGCTATAACGCTCCCACGGCTGAAAGAGCGAGCATGTTTGGTGACGGGATTCGAACTCGCGACCCTTAGATTGCGATTCAAACGCCTAAACCACCTGGCCATACCAGGCCTTTGGTCTAGAATTGTATTTATTTTGATATCCATTAACTACTTACTATCTTCGTTATGCTTTGAGGGAAATTCCAGAAAGACAAAATGCCTGACAGGTAAGATCTTAGTCTGTGTTCTACGAAACTGTTTGTTGGCTACATAAAAGACTTCTTTGAAGTGGAAGTACAGAAAATAGATTTAATTCGGATTTGATGTACTACACATAGGAGCTTTGTATAATTGACAACTGTTCTTCTAATATGTAGTATAGGTTATGATTAAGTTTCACGTGAGTATTATCTAATATTTTCCCTTTTTATTACATATTTTAATTTTTATTTGAAACGTCTTATTGGTGTACAAAACTTGAAGATAGATTTTATATGCGGAAACATCTGTTAGCTGAGTTCTTACACAAATCTTAAAATATAACGTTGATAAACGGAAACATCGGCACATATAGATATGTAGATCTTGAAAGTCGAGTTGCTCAAAACTTGAAAATAGCGTTGATAACTGGACCAATTGTTGGTTGAGATGTTGCAAAGGAAATATCTGCTGAAGCTTTTCGCC